AGTAGCGAGGACACAAGATGAGGTAAAGCAGCAGCGAGACACTGGAACTCCTCCTGCCTGTCCTCAAGGACGTCCGTGCTAAGAGCACACTCACCCCCGACGGACGGAGGACAGACAGACTCAGACTCAGTAACAAGACTGGCAGTGAAGTCTAGACGACAGGCAGCAGCAAAGTCAACAAGCTCAGCGACAAGAGCAGACGCAGCAGCAGACTCAAACGACGGGTCAGTGACAACTGTGGCTAGTAGACGCGTGACAGTAGGGTGCTCAGCACGAAACCGGTCAGACGCAGGGTCCGGAACGTCAGGCAACGAGGACGCAGGAGGAGACGGCAGAGGAACAGGCTGCGGAGCAGAGGAAGGACGACGGACTACGAGGTGTGCGCTGGGGACAGCCGGCTGACGCGAACGAGGAACACGACGACCGGTACGACTAGGACGAACAGGCGAAACAGGACGCGACGCAGGCTCACGACGCTCAGCAGGACTACCAGTCTGCACAGTGTAAGGAGAAGGAGCAGGCAGCGGTGAGCCGGGCTGTAACGGAAGACCAGTAGACGATGGGAGAGTAAGAACCTGACGAAGAACAGAGTCAGACGGCGGCAGAGACGACGGAGACGGCGGAGCGAAGAACCGTCGTGTCGGCGCAGCTGCACCAGGAGCGGCAGCTCCAGCAGCTCGAGTGCCTCCAGCAGCTCCAGTACCTCCAGCAGCTCCAGAAGCTCCAGTCCCAGAGCCGACACCTCCAGCCCCAGGGTCTCCAACCTCTGTGTCTCCAGCAGCAGCACCCCCAGAACCAGCACCTCCAGTCCCAGGGTCTCCAGCCTCAGTGTCTCCAGCAGCAGCACCCCCAGAACCAGCACCTCCAGTCCCAGGGTCTCCACCCTCTGTGTCTCCAGCAGCAGCACCCCCAGAACCAGCACCTCCAGTCCCAGGGTCTCCAGCCTCAGTGTCTCCAGCAGCAGCACCCCCAGAGCCAGCACCTCCAGTCCCAGGGTCAACAGCCGCAGTGTCTCCAGTACGAGCACCTCCAGAACCAGCGACTCCAGCACCTCCAGTAGACAAAGGTCCAGCACCACTCCTAGCTCCAGCAGCGCGACGCGGACGGCGACCGTACCAGTCCTGCAGCTGCTGTGGGGTGAGAGGCACACGTGGACGAAGGCGGCTACTCCAAGGAGACCGCGCAACAGCAGACTCAGAACCCTCAGCGCCCGCACCCCCAACGGCTCCAGAACCTCCGGTGTCAGTACCCTCAGCACCTGCACCTCCAGCGGCTCCAGAACCTCCAGCGCCAGCACCCTCAGTAGCTCCAGAACCTCCAGCGTCAGTACCGCCAAGCTCAGCACCCCCAGACCCCTCACACTCAGGCTCAGCACCACCAGGCTCCACACCCTCAAGCTCCGCACCCTCAGGCTCAGCACCCCCAGGCTCAGCACCCCCAGGCTCCGCACCCCCAGGCTCAGCACCCCTAGAAGTAGCACCCCGAGAAGGACCACCCTCAGTAGGACCTGAGTCACCAGTGACCTCAACCGGCGCAGTCAAGGGAGGAGGGTCTACCTGAGAAACACCTGAAGGAGCAGGACCAGGAGTGGGGAGGGGGTCTACCTGGGGAGCACCTGGAGCGAGGAAGAGCGGCGGGGGGGGGAGCGGGGCAGTGCGGTAGGGGAAGAGACGGTAAAAGGGAACCGACTCGTCGAACGTGACGTCCTGAGACGCAAAGACACGGCGCGAGGTGGGATGGTAAAACTGCCAACCAGGCGCGTCAGGGACAAAGCCAAGGAAGACACAGGGAACAGCGCGGGCGGAGAGCTTGTCCGCGGTGGTATCGCGGACAAAGGCACGAGCACCCCAGACCCGGAAACGCGACGCATCACCAACCTTCCCCGTCCACAGCAGTGTGGGCGAGGTCTCCGGCAAGGAGACACGGGGCCAGAGGTTGAGCTGATGCGCGGCGTACCGGACCGCAAACGGCCACAGGAAATGGGGGGCAGCCGCATGGATCATGGAGGTACGAGCGACCTCCATGACTAAGCCAATGCGACGCTCAGCAACCCCATTCTGCTGTGGAGAGGCCGGAAGCGTGAACGACTGGGTGATGCCGTGCTCCGCACAGTAGGCTGCCAAGAGGTCAGAGGAGAACTCACCACCTCTGTCAGAGTGCAGACGCAGGACAGGAAAATCCCGCCGGAACCGCTCGCGGAGCTGGAGACGAACAGCGCGGATCCAAGGGATCAAAACATCAGGGACGTCCCCCTTGCTCTGCAAGGGGAAGACCGTGGTGTAACGCGTGTAGTCGTCGACGACCAGCAGGAAGTACCGCTCGCGGCCCTGTCCCTGGACGCGGGCTGGGCCCCACACGTCCAGGTGGAGCGTCTGCAGGGGAGCCTCTGTGGGAGGAAACGAGGAGGAGTGAGGAGCGGCGCGCTGCCGCCCCTCGACGCAAGGAATGCAGGGCGGCGCAGGCGAGGGAGGGAGGGCAGGCAGAGACCTGGGAAGACCAGAGACCAGGGAGCGAGAGTGCATGCGACGCAGGCGAGGCAAGGAGGGGTGACCAAGACGGTGGTGCCACAGGAGAGTGTCGTGCGACAAAGCGCGACACTCACAGGGGGCCGCCAGCTGACCAGACGTAGACGCAGACGCAGCTACCTGAGGGGACTCAGTGGTCAGTGTGTACAGACTCGAGCCAGGTGCACGGGTGAACGTGGCCAAGTGCCGGCCCGTCCTAGCACACGTACAGTGAGTCACTCGCTGACTCGCAGGAGTGAACTGGTCAACCTCCCGATCCTGGAGGTCAGCTCCACTCACCAAGTTCGTAGAGAACGAGGGGAGGTAAAGACCTGACAGCGAGCCGGACGGGACGGCCGGACACGGCAGAACCGTGGAGTAGTGGGCAAGGACTGGACCCCCGGAGGGGTCCGCCAGGGAGACTGGAACTGGCCGACTAAGCGGCGTGAGTGTGGTGCAGTCGCGAAAGAAGGAGCGAGAAGCTCCTGAGTCAAGGGTGAAGGTGTGTGAGACCGCAGGTGGCGCAGTACCAGAGAGAGCAGACTCACCAGCACCTGAAGCCACGGCCTCACCAGTACCTAGAGCAGTAGACGTACTAGCACCGAGAGCAGCAGCCTCACCAGCACCTAGAGCAGGAGACGCACTAGCACCTAGAGCAGCAGCTGCACCACCAGGGTCAGGCGGTACGCACAGAGAACAGGCACGATCAGCACTAGTAGGCAATGCATACATGGCAGTGAGAATAGCATCATAGTCACGCGCAAAGATATCTACCCTCTGTCCATGCAGCTCCAGCCAGGTGGGGAGCTCAGCCTCGTCGCCAAACACTGTGCGCCAGTCGTCGCTCAGACGAGCGAAGCAGCGGGACTGTGTGTGACCAAGCGTCCCACAAGGCTGACCAGTCCTAGCACCTGTGCGAATGACGTACGGGCAGCGAACTGTACGCGTAGACCTGCTACACTGAGCGTACCACTCCTGGAGCTGCCGGGGCGTAAGTGTCTCACGTGGACGCCCCTGCAGCTGTAGCGGGCCACTGCCAGACGCTCCCAACTGACCAGCTCCAGGGCGACAGCTACGACGGCTACTGCGACAACCCCAGCTAGTATACCACTCACTAAGCTGCTGGGGCGTCAGAGGCTCGCGTGAACGTCGCTGGAGCTGCATCTGGCCACCTGCCAGTAGCAGTAGCAGCAGTAGTAGCGCGGGCAAGGCAGGCGCGGCAGGCAGGCAGGCAAGCAGGCAGGCAGGCAGGCAGGCAGGCCGGCAGGCAGGCAAGCAGACAGGCAGGCAGGCAGGCAGGCAGACAGGCAGGCAGGCAGGCAGGCAAGCAGACAGACAGGCAGGCCGGCAGGCAGGCAGGCAGGCCGGCAGGCAGGCAGGCAGTCGCGCAGGCAGGCAGGCCGGCAGGCAGGCAGGCAGCCAGGCCGGCAGGCAGGCAGGCAGACAGGCAGGTCGTCAGGCAGGCAGGCAGGTGCTCACCAGGCGAGCAGGGCCGGCGCTCGACGGGCGGCGGCCGAGTAGGCGCACGACAGCGGCGGCGTCGGGGCCGCAAAACCGGCTGCAGAGCAGGGCCGAAGCAGCTGCAGGGCGGGGCCGTCTCAGCGGCAGTAGCAGGGTGGGGCCGCGTCAGCGGCAGGTCGGGGCCGTGGCAGCTGCAGAGCGGGGCCGCATCAGCGGCAGGTCGGGGCCGTGGTAGCTGCAGGGCGGGGCCGCATCAGCGGCAGGTCGTGGCCGAGGCAGAGGGCCGCGCGCGGCTCGGCGCGGGCTGCGCTGACAGCGCGTGGAGCTGCTGCAGGCCGCGCGCGGCCGCGCTAGGGAGTAGCGGGCCGCGCGCGGCTCGGCGCGGGCTGTTGCGGGCCGCGCGCGGGCCGCGCGAGGCAGTAGCAGGCCGCGCGCGGCTCGGCGCGGGCTGCTGCGGGCCGCGCGCGGGCCTCGCGAGGCCGTAGCAGGCCGCGCGCGGCTCGACGCGGGCTGCGCGCGGCAGCTGCGGGCTGCGCGCGGCTGCAGCGGGCTGTGCGCGGCTCGGTGCGGGCTGCGCGCGGCTGCAGCGGGCTGTGCGCGGCTCGGCGCGGGCTGCGTGGGCTCTGTGCGGGCTGCGCGCGGCTGCAGCGGGCTGCGCGCGGCTCGGCGCGGGCTGCGCGGGCTCTGTGCGGGCTGCGCGCGGCTGCAGCAGGCTGCGCGGGCCTTACGGGCCTCTAGGGGCGGCGCGTGGGCCTTACGGGCCTCTAGGGGCAGTGCGCTGGCCTAGGGCAGTAGGAGGCAGCGCTAGGGCTGCTGGACGGCGCACATAGTGCAGCACGTCACAAGGCAAGGCAAGGCAGGCAGGTACGTGGGGTAGCGCGGTAACCGCAGCGGTAGGTGGGCCCGGAAAAAAAAAACGGTCCTACGGACCTTAGTGCTCTGAAACCATGTCAGAATCTAGCAGCAGGAATGAATGAACTAGCAGCATGCAGGAGTACAAGTAGTAAACCCTAATTGGGCTGTACCCCATATGGGCTACCCCACTACAGCCTAGACAATATCCAGCATATATGTTTGACATGGCCAACTCCCAGTGTACCTGCAGACATTACAGAAACGATGGGCTTAGAAGCTTTGTCGTTCCAGTGAAAGGTATTATATAGTAGCGAACATGGTACCTGTATGCTCTGTATGTTCTCGCCCTTGTTGTTGCACGCCGGGGCAGCGTCGAGGGCCGATCTTAGGTGTGCCAAATCTGCCCTAATCTCCTTCTCCAACTTTTCGTCACGCTTTGGTTGTGCGGCGTTCGGGACGCAAAAAGGAGCAACTGTCCGACCGCGAGGGACATGTAGGAGCCAAGACCGTCGCGAGAGCACACGCACGCCTGTCCGCTGTGCCTGCAGACGTCAATAGCAATGCACATACACGGATGAGTTTCAAGTCGTACTTCACATGCAGACTTGTGAGTAGATAAATCAGCTCACCTTGATCATGGCTGTGTCGTACGTCTTCTTCTTGGCTAGCATGGGTGCAATGGACTGCAAACGCAAGCGCTGTACCTCACTCTCTACCACCTGCGCATTCACACTGCGCTTATTCGAAGAGCGATAGGGAGTTTTTATATACTCGATGTGCAAATGCTCGTAGAGTTGTGCAGAGTAGTGGTCGGGCAAGCCCGAACGCCGTATCGTATCTATGAAGTGGCTGACGAGATGCATCTTGATGAAGTTTCAGTTCGATGTCTGCGGGAAATGTGTAGTCAAACCGTAGAGCATCCTGCGCGACGATTGGGTAGTGAACACATCCAGAGTTAGTAGGCCTATTGCGGCATGTCTTAGTGCGTTAAATAGATAAGCAACTCACCGGTGAGCCTTGGTCTTCAAGTCGAGCAGACTGCCATCGGTGTGCTCGCTTGCACGTGCGCACTCCAAGTACCACTCGATGTACGAAACCAAAGCTTCCATCTGGTCATCCGTGATGCACCCTTTCGCAATAAAGGGGAGAACCTGCATCACAGAACGATGCTCGTACGCTTGGTAATTGGCACCTTTGGCGAAGTATTCACCCGATGGCAGCCTCATGCATCCACCACGGGTGGACTTTCTAAGCTGTTTTAGACGTTGGTCTAGCAACTTCATCTTCCTGGGATAGTGTTCCCGAATGTGCGCTCGAATGCTATCAACAATGTGCTCGAAAAGGCCTAGGTCGGCTTGATGCATGATAACAGGAAGCACCGCAAGATAAGGGTTGAGCAAGCTCTCCGCCTCCCACCGCCATCCCCAAAGGTAACTCTGCACATAGAGAGCATGTGATAGTTAGTCGAAGTTTATAACATATTTCAGATTCGACGGGGAGTTTGGAACATACCTGAACCGGGTGAGTCGAAATGGCTTCATCGTGATCCGGCTGGATCGTGTTTGTCCGCACCGAGTGGACAATGGAGCGTTGCTCCGATGGCGTCCGCGCTTGAATGCGATCGGTGAACAGCGCAAGCTTGTCCTTGTGAACCTTGCATAGCGAGCAAGGAAAGTTCGTCGAACCCGACTTCGTGCACGTTACCTTGCACGATTCCGGGTAATCCGTGACATGCCACACGTTGATTGTTTTCCCCGTCGAGTCGACCATGTCTATACCCGTATGAGAAGCACGCTTCAACCCCGCTACCACCTCATTCATGATGTAATGGAAGACTTGTGTCCTATCTAGGGAATCATACTCTGCGGGATACTCCGGGAGCAAGGCAAGCAAGACGTGCCCATAGGGCTTCCACCTGTCGTCCTTGTCAATATTTCCTAGTGTCAAATACACAGGATGCCCTTTAGCCTTTCCACGCTGATCCATATGGGTCTCATCACTTGCAAGAATGAGAGCAGCGACAACACCTTCCGGATTCACTTCATCTATCTTCCTTTGAAGCTCCTCCCACCATAGCGCGGTTTCGGGTGTTGAGAAAACTCGCATGACTCCATCTTTAACGACACGAGCCTCCATGCTCATCTTTGGAGCGAGCTTGGGGTCCTTAAGTAGATCCTGAAGAGCGACGAGTCCATCGCAGTACCAATATTCTAGCCACGCCTTGTTCCCCGCTCGAACGGTTTTGCGTCTCCAACCGCGATGCTTATCCGGGGCCCGTGATTCGACGTACTGTTGGACATCGCGCGCAGACTTCCATCCTGTCAGCTGAGAGAGCTCAAATGCATGGTGGAAGAGAATGTCAAACAAGGCCTTGATTGCCTTTTGGGAGATGTTGTTGGCTAGCAACCAATGCGCGAATGCATCCCTGCCGTTGAAGGGTGGTTCGGGCGACGTTGCACCTCCAACGTTCTTAGGCAACACATTCCCATCACTTCCCTCCTGGGTGTCATCACGCACTGTATAATCATCAGCATCACATGGTAAACTTGCATTCTCGGAATCATTGGAACTGACGTTGCTAGAAGCACTATGATCCAAATGCTCCCCTGACACAAAGTCACCCCCGGTACATGGCACTGGAAGAGCATGTAGATGTTCGTCAAGAGGGGTTGCCGTGGGCACGGCTGAAGTCGAAGCAACTGCAGTGGGAATAGGGTTGGGTGCTACGGTGGGTGTGCGAGGGCGTTTATGCAACCCTGGGTTACTTGTTAAGTACGGCGTAGGTGTCATTGCGCGCTTTGCAGGGCAGCTTGAGCTACGCATGTGACTCTCTATGCCCTGTTAGGTCAAGAAGGTGTTGACCTTGCAGGCAGGGCAGCGGTAGCTCATCTGAAAGTTGGGAAAACGTATGACCGAGAAGGACGAAGGGAGGTTGTAGAAGAGTTAAAGAGAGGGGGTGAGATCGAGCATGAATGCGGGGGATTTTTGGCAGATGATGAGTGAATGGGGCAGAGAGGGATAGAGTGGGGCAGGGAGGGAGTGTATGGGGCAGAGAGGGAGTGAATGGGGCAAAGAGGGAGTGAACGGGGCAGAGAGGGAGTGAATGGGGCAGAGAGGGAGTGAACGGGGCAGAGAAGGAGGGAATGGGTCAGAGAGGGAGTAACGGGGCAGAGAAGGAGGGAATGGGTCAGAGAGGGACTGACTGGGGCAGAGAGGGAGTGAAAGGGGCAGAGCGGGAGTGCATGGGGCAGAAAGGGAGTGAATGGGGCAGCGAAGGTGTGAATGGGGCAGAGAGGGAGTGAGAGGGGCAGAGAGGGAGTGTATGGGGCTGAGAGGGAGTGAGAGGGGCAGAGTGGGAGTGAATGGGACAGAGAGGGCGTGCATGGGGCAAGATAGGAAATGTGGAGAGGTGGGGGGGGGTGTTGTTTTACGATACCTTGACGCATGCGCAGGGAACAGCTCTTCGCTCCACGTGGAGTGTTCAAAGTGTAACCGCTGCTCCAACAGGCAGCCCCCACTACGGTGTACTGGCCTGGAAGACGGGGAAAAAGGGTGTGACAGAGCAAGTGGGGCTGTGTAGCGAGAGAACGAATGCGGCAGCGAGCGAGGATGAGAGAATGCAGCAGAGCGAGAGAGAGAGTGTGCGGCAGAGCGAGCGAGAGAGAATGCGGCAGAGCGAGAGAGAGAGTGTGCGGCAGAGCGAGCGAGAGAGAATGCGGCAGAGCGAGAGAGGGGATGCGGCAGGGCGTGAGAGAGAGTGCGGCAGAGCGAGAGAGAGAATGCGGCAGGGCGTGAGAGAGAGAGGGAGAGAGAGAGAGAGAGAGAGAGAGAGCGAGAGAGAGAGAGAGAGATAGAGAGAGAGAGAGAGAGAGAGAGAGAGAGAGAGAGAGAGAGAGAGAGAGAGAGAGAGAGCGAGAGAGAGAGAGAGAGAGAGAGAGAGAGCGAGAGAGAGAGAGAGAGAGAGAGAGAGAGAGAGAGAGAGAGAGAGAGGGAGAGAGAGAGAGAGAGAGAGAGAGAGAGAGAGAGAGAGAGAGAGAGAGAGAGAGAGGGAGAGAGAGAGAGAGAGAGAGAGATTGACAGAGCGATAGAGAGATAGAATGCGTCAGAACGAGAGAGAGAGAATGCGACAGGGAGAGTGAGAGAGTGCGGCAGCGAGCGAGAATGCGGGAGCAAGCGCGAGAATGCGGGAGCAAGCGAGAGAATGCGGCAGAGCGAGAGAGAGAGAATGCGGCAGAGCAAGAGAGAGAGAATGCAGCAGAGCGAGAGAGGGGATGCGGCAGGGCGTGAGAGAGAGTGCGGCAGAGCGAGAGAGAGAATGCGGCGGGCGTGAGAGAGAGAGAGGGAGAAGAGAGAGAGAGAGGGTGAGAGAGAGCGAGCGAGAGAGAGGGTGAGAGAGAGAGAGAGAGAGAGAGAGAGAGAGCGAGAGAGAGAGAGAGAGAGAGAGAGAGAGCGAGAGAGAGAGAGAGAGAGAGAGAGAGAGAGAGAGAGAGCACGCGACGTGGGGAGATAGAGAGAGCACGGGAGTCGTCATGAGAGAGAGAGAGAGAGAGTGAGCAAGGGAGGGGTGCAGAGAGAGACAGTCGGGGAACGGTAAAGAACATACATGCTACTTCCCTATGCTATGTTCGTTCACGTCACGTCAATGTCTAACGCGGATTTCCTGATGCATTTGCCGACGTCTAGAAGTCAGGAATGACACGGCGTGAGCACTATGTGGGGCGGTAGGCTGTGAAAGGGAGGGAGGTAGAATTGCCGTCGGAGAGCTCACCTTTTCGAGTCGTGGACACGTATGTGCCCTCTCTCTGGTCCCTTCGCGACCGCGTCACGTGGCTTGTTGCGACAAGCTCCGTCAAAAGAGAGAGGCACCGCCTCCCCCTACGCCGCCTCTCTATGCCGTGCTTGTCACAGCTTATCGTGTTGCAGTCCGTGTCGCCGCTGATCCGCTTTCGCCAATGTCCAGGTCTTATGCGGGGTCTCTTCTGGGATTGCTGTCGTGCGAGTCGCCAGAAAGTCAGATTTAGCAGCTTATGGCCTTCGCCCGGCCTTAACGTCTCTTGCGGCGGCGACGCAGTGACGCCGCTTGGAGCTCTATCACTGCGGGCAGTTCCAGTTCGAGCTAGGATATTGTCGACGCACCGCAGGTGTCGTGACGATGGTGCACACAGTGAAGCCGTGAATCGCGCTAGATATCAGTGTAGATGCAAAACCATGGGTATCGCCGTTGCTTCAGCTGCTTCAGATTCGTCGCAGCTTAGCGCGACGCGGCTGCTAAGGCTACAGACGGTTGTTGCGTTATCTCGAGACCTGGAAGCCAGAATCACGTTTCTGAACACAGAGTTGCCTGTCGAGGGAAATATGGAGCGAATCTGAGGGATGGGTGGAGTGTGGATGGAGGAGTGACGGAGTCGCGCACGAATGGGGCTTTCTTTGACAGCGCGATATAATGGGGTTCATAGCGGTGACCTGAGGCACATTAGTTTTTTATTACGGTGTACAACGTTCCTGCACGGTTCATACGAGATGCACCAATAATTGTGGACCCGGAACGCGTTCTGTTGGGGAATTGATGAACCGTGAGATGCGGGGCATTTTGGCATAGAACAGGGAACATTGCTTATCCATAACTAGCTTCGTTACAAAACAGGGTACTACTATATGTTAAAACAACCAAACCACATATAAAACAAATAACATCTACAATAACACCGTTACATTACAAACAACACACTACACATTCATAACAATAACTTTTACACGATGGAAAAATGTAATCAAAACAATAGTACAATTGCACAAGTCATGATATAATAATACCACGTTGGAAACTGTGTTAAAGAGTAGATGTTAGTATCACATAATAAAAAAAAGTAACAAACACAAAAAAGGTAACCAAAAACGAACAGACAAACAAAAACACAGCACATAGTTCAACTTATCTATAAATGGCATGACTGCAAACTGGTTACATAAAGAGTTACCCAAACTTGGATGATGTTATAAAAGAACTTGTCAGAGTGCGCAAATATCGAATAACGAGAATGAATGAACTACTGAATGACTGAACAATGAAGTAGCGAGGCCTAAATAGGGGAAAACCTAGCTAGGCGGGGATGGTGTGGTAGGGTTGGCTCGCGAAGGGTCGCGATTGGTGCGGAGGCGGCTCGGTGAGGTTGGGATGCGAAATTGTAGGCCGAACCAGAGGGTCGCGTGGCCTTCGGGATGGCCTCGATAACGAGCGCCTCAGTAAGGATTTGTAAATCCTTACACTCTCCCACCTCCTAAATAAGGCAGCCCTATACGAAAATGAGTCCCACAGTAGCGGGGATGCCGTTGATCTTCACTTCAGCTGAATCCGACGGCTGAAATCCCTTGGGCGATATTTTTTGAAATAGTTGGAATGTAGGCCGTTGATGCTGTCAGGTCTCGATCTGACGGTCGAAGATGAAGTGGACCAATTCGAATTGAAGGTTGGAAGCGGAGCCGTTGATCGAGCAGATGTTGATCGGACGGTCAGAGCTCGCGTTGACCGCTGATGATTTCAAATGCGATTGAGCAGGAACCGTAGATCGTGTCGGTGTGATCGCGGTCGTCCGTCGTGCTGTCGCAACCTGACAAATACAGAAAGGGCCGAGAAAAACGCCAAGGAAAGAACAGTGCAAAGCACTTTCTCCCCCCCTCCAAAGAAACACTCCTGAAAATGTCCCGCAGCTGCGCCGAGATGAAAACAAACAAAACCGGGTGTTAAGTCCCACTGAGAAAAACCGTTGAGCGTAGAACGTGTCGGTGTGAAAAGTCGATGACGAAACCAGAATTACGTGCCCCAAAATTTTTTTTTTTTTTCAAGGGCGAACCCGTAGATGTAGACCAGAAACTCTGACGGAAAATTTGAGTTGCTCGAACTGAACCAGTGTTGTCCTTACGTGCCCGAATCATGCCGAATCTGCAGCAGTTGCAGCTGGCAGCACCTGACGTGGCTGAAATGAATTCTATTTGTCGTGGGCGGGTCGATGGCGAGTTGTCAGAAGCAGAGTTGGAATGGATTCTCCCGAAAGCTTTGTCGTAATCCGCCGAGAGTTCGTGGGCAGGGATGAAAATTTGCAGCTGTCTCTCCCCCCCGTCACTGTTGCTGCCGCCTTCTCCAGTTCCTCGTCGTTCGTACCCCTTGAAATCTCGTGCTGTTCCCGCGATGTTGCCCTGCGTCGTTCTTACGCGTGTTTAACCAAAAACCCGAAAACCGCTGCGAAATTGTCGCCGCTTCCGCCGTAAGGCCTGTAAAGTCCCGCGTAAAACTCCGAAAATGTCGTTCGAAAAACAACCCCGTAAATCCGCAGATGCAGGTGCAGTTCGCCTCCGAAAATCTCGGACGTGCTATAGCCGCCCACTCGGTCACCAGCAGTTGCCGTCGGTTTACCCGACCCCAGCATGTGGGTTAAATCGAGAACCGGGGACTGCCCTGGGTCTTCCGAGACCGAATTTCACGGAACCTAGTGGCATCAACGCCGTTGACCTCAGTAGTCGAAAAACTACTCCCGCTGTTGTCGCTTAACAAAAATCCCTGTTTCTCCCACCAGCGCTTTGCAGATGTTTCACCCATCGCTCGTCGCCGGCCGATAAGTTCCCGAAGCTACGACTGCTCCTTCGCTCCCCTTTGTTGAAGAATTTCCCGAGGTGTGCGTTTAAACACCAAGGGTCCTAGGTCTCTTCGCCGCTAAGCTTCTTGCCAGACAACTTCGAAAAGTGCCCTCCAGGCGAAGTCCCCCAACGACTCAACCGCACTCCAAGAAGCGAAGAAACACCCTCAGCTTCAACTCTTTTTTTTTTTTTTGTCGTCGTTTTCGTAGAAAGATAACCCGAAAATCACGGTTGAGGCAGCAGTCCCGAAGGCAAATTCTCCGCCGTGTAGCCCCGACGTTTCCACCGCTTTATCCCTGGTATTCCGATGTTCACCCATCTTCATACCCGTCGGAACCACTTAGCGAATCCCAGGCATCATTGGCGGTGTACCTCTCGCCGCGCCTCCATGTAACAATATCAAACCCTTTCGGGGGTCTACCGAATAGACTCCGAAATTCGCGGTAGATTGGTGCACGGGCTCAACCTAACACTCCAGTGATCTGCTGGATCACCCACAACTTTCCCTTCGTCGTCATATTTTTTCGTATTCACCCCCCGGCAATTCCGCTTCCCGCCGTTCACCCAGCGTCCGCTTTTGTCGGATGGGGTATCGTCGTTGTTGCCCGCGCGAACTCGGCTACGGTGTAGAAGCAAAAACTATCGGAGTCGGGGCAGCCTTAGTTAAAAGGAAACTGTCGCCCAACCGTTTTGCAGCCCGCCGTGCCTATCACGCCACGTAAAATCCACAGCTTCCCGGTCTCAGCTTCGCCGCTGCGCCGTCGATTCGTGTAGACGCCCGGGTCAGGAGAAACCTGTAGACTGCACCATTTCTTCTTCGCAGCTCCCCGACTTTTTCGCGTGCCGTTCACCCAGCCCGCTTTTGTCGGAGTAGAACAGTGCCGCGAGCTCCACTTTTTTTTTTGTCTTTTTCTTGTACAGCTGTCGAACGGGCACCAATCCCGGTACCTTTAACCAGCGCAGGGTAGGCCACGTGTTCACCCCCGTTATTCGGCCAAGTAGGTTGACTGCATGAGTCAGAACCAGGACTTGGTGGGGATGGTGAGGTTCGGGCGAAGTAGGGCCGCAGATCGATTCCACCGGCTTTTAATCTGCCCCCGCAACGTTCTTCAACCCCCGCTTAGCCGTTGGGCCGTTTCTTCTCGCGTGTCCCGGCAGCCTGTACCGACCCCTCCGAAATTATCGGGCGGTACCTTGGACACCGTTTAACCGTGGGTTGTCAGCAGCTGTCCCCGAAAACAACATCCTTGGTCAGGGGAAACTGTTCTCGATACTGCCGGCCAGCTTGCAACAACACCAGGCACGCAGCGTCGCACGAGTTCTTTCGAGGTGTACCTGCCCCGATTTCCTTCGTCGCCTGCGTCCCACTCCTCGTAAGTGCGGTTTAGCCATCGCGTTTTCCGTTGCAGCCCGTAAGCGTCAGCAGGTATGAAGTCCCGTCTGTCCACGAGCACTCCTGCCGAATTTGTTGATGACGCGCCCGCCAATGCAGTAAAAGCTGCCGCACTTAACAGGTCGGGCGGGACGGCAGTTAACTCCCGTTAAGTCGGGCAGTCTTGTGTCGTCTCTCCTCGCCACCGACATTTTCGGACGCAAACTCCTTTTGCGCCTGGCGAGTTCCCCAGCCGACGTTTTCTTCAACAGAAGCTCCGAAATTTTCGCCACAGTGACGCACGTTCCTTGTCGCCAGCTGCCGAGCCACACTCCGTGAGTCGCGCGCGCATGATGACGACGAGCCACCGTTGTCACTTGCCGCATGGGACGGACTCCGAAGTTGTCGCGCAGTTGTTGACTCGGGTCCGACGGCGTCAACTGCCACACATCGTGACGACTTCCGAAATCTTCGTGCAGGTGCCGACGCAGATCCGCTGACGCCAGCTGCCTCACAGTTTCGAAATCGTCGTTAAAACCGCAGCGGAAATAGTAACTCACGTTCGATGTCGCGACAGCTCCAGCTGTCCGTTGCCCGGGGGGAGGGAGGTCACGGTCGATCGCGACCGTTCGAGCTAAGGATCTGGCGGTGCCGAAGGAGTGCCCCGTAAAACCATGGCCGCGAAGAGCAACTAACTAGTTCTCTTGGCCGGCCTACGCAACTCCTGGACCCCAAGGCATCCTTACTCGTCCCCCCCCCGAGGGGTAATACACTCTAAAAAGCGGGGTAGGCTAGGAAAGTAGCTCTGATACCAAGTGTTATGAATGAACTTGTCAGAGTGCGCAGATATCGAATAACGAGAATGAATGAACTACTGAATGACTGAACAATGAAGTAGCGAGGCCTAAATAGGGGAAAACCTAGCTAGGCGGGGATGGTGTGGTAGGGTTGGCTCGCGAAGGGTCGCGATTGGTGCGGAGGCGGCTCGGTGAGGTTGGGATGCGAAATTGTAGGCCGAACCAGAGGGTCGCGTGGCCTTCGGGATGGCCTCGATAACGAGCGCCTCAGTAAGGATTTGTAAATCCTTACAGATGACGTGGCAACAATCAACCGACATCCTCCCGCAAAGGAGAATTTGGGTGCGAAGTGTTGGTTGGCAACAAGCCCCACACATCTCCCGATCTATCGCCATATCTGTCTGAAGCA